TATCCTACCTATCCAGTTCTAACAGAACAAGGAAAGCTTCAGGATGAGGTGGGTTTGGATAGTTAGGTTTCCCTGTGCCTCACAGATGGGGGTAGTGATGGTTTTTTGTGTCAAAACTGTTTGTAACAAACATATTTGTTGGTTACTAAGGAAATGGGTCTGCCATTATTCTTGGGCTGTGAGGTCTGAGGAGCACCCTTTGGTCAGTTGTCATGATGGAATTGTCATCTAATCCAGGTTGAAGCTTTTGAGCAGCCTTTTAATCTGAAAGGGCATTTATTTTTTAGTATCCATAGCCCTTATCTTTAATCACATGGTGTCAATGTCTATCACAGCAGGTTTCTGGGCTACAGTGATTGATGATGAGAAGGTGTCTTTGAAAAGTGTTTGATTTTATACTTCTAGATGGGGAGAACTTTGGGAAAGGCCATGGCAATTTATTTGTCAAGGCTGACAGTCCCAATTTTTTCCTCAGTCAAAATAAACTCTGAAGCAATTGTTGACAGTCATCTCAAGTAGGCATTAAAAGTTGTCATCTGACCAGGACAGGCTTGTCTCCAGAGGAGACATTCTGCTCTGTGGCCGAATGCAGGCAATGACTAATTGAATTGGAACTAGTTCAATTAGCTGGAAGTACATGAGCTGAGAGTGGGGTTGAAACTGTTGGCAACTGCAGCAGTTGACCAGGGTGCCAACATGGAATTCTCAGGAAGAATTTTTGAAAAAAAAAAAAAAAAAAAAAGGAGCAGTTTGGTTTCACTGTTAACTTCATAAAAGCCTCTTTTCCTGCAGTCAGGGACTGTTAGTTTTGACTAATTAGCTCCCATCTCTGACTTCCTGGGTACATGTGTTGTGTGTCTTTGAATGATGGTGCCACAAAGGACGGGTGGCCCTCAGAGAAAGAGACTAATAGGTGCTCACCTGGCTGCACCCCTGACAACTTAGCTAAGGAGGGTGCAAGGCTGCTATTCTATTAGGCCATATATTGATCATCACCACTGAACCACAAGTGAGGGCCCAATCAGCCACTGCAACCAGTGCTTCTCAGTCTTGGTGCACAGATAGAGCAGCCTATTGCTTACACTGTCTATGCCATTCACCTGTGCATTCACTTAATAGGCACTCAAAGGTTAAACATGCCAAACTCCTTCCTTTGAGGGAGGATCTAATAAGTTGATCAGATTCCCCTTCTGTTCACGCTGGGCAGGACTAACAGACAACTGGGGTACCACCAGGGGTCTTACCAGAATCAGGCAGACAGAACAGACTGCATCCTCCTCTCTTTGGGGCCTGATGTGAGCTGCTCAAAGCAGCAGGAGCCAGGAATCCTCTAGATCTCTGAGGGAGCACAAGAAATCTTGAGGGCATATCTGCCCATCAGTACCTGGAGAGGTCCTTGCTCCATCTGCAAGGACCACAACCAGTGACCAAAGATGACAGCACTCAAGTCTTCCCAGCTGACACACCAGATGCTACAGCAAACAGAAACACTGAAATGGTATCCACATGATCACAGTGTTCTTTCACCTCTTTAGGATTATGGGTGATCACCTCCCAACAGCAAAAGGTTATGGAGCTCAGGTCTGCAGAGGACAAAAAGCTGTCCTCACTTCAAATGAGATTAGGGAGATGTAAGAGTGAGTGGCATGCTTAACCTCTGAGTGCCTGTTAAGTGAATGCACAAGTGAGATGTGTACAATGTGGGAAAGTGCAAAATTTTATAGAAAAGCACCACCCAAAAAAGGCTGTAGCAACGTAAGCAACTGATCAGGTTAATGACACTGCAATGAACTTCCACAAAATCCTCAAAAGCAAAAGTGTCATTCGATGAGTTCCTTGTTAAAAGTTGCATGAAATGCTATTGAGCCAATAGACAGCAATGATTCCACTAGTGATAGGAAAGGTGTCCTACACAATGTCATTTTCTTCATACCAACCATAAAGGTTTCCAAAGGGATGAACAAGTTTTGTTATTTTGTATAATTTTTATAAGAATATTTTGGGCTATGGAATGAATCATATTTCCACTGTTTCTTATGAGGAAACTTGTATTTGATATACAATCACTTCAGAACACATACATGCTTGCATGTTCCTGGAACAAATTATGCTTGCAAATCAAGCTTTTACCATATTTGGTATGACTGATGTAAGGGGTCAAAAAAGGATATGAGGGAGAAAAATTAAGGTATTTTGAGTCATTCCTATCTTACTAAAAATTCATCAGAGGAATTCAAATTTTAAATTTTCTTAGATCTCACGTTTAAATTAACACATAGAATAAGTAAATCCCTTATACTAGTCCAAATAATATATTAAAATTCTGACATTGTGAATAAGCCATTTACCCAATCACCTAAATACTAAATGCTAAATACTGTGACCTATACATAGTTCTTACTGTAGAAATTTCTGCATAAATGACTTAAGGTTATATGGGATATGGGAGATGACCACCCATAATCCTAATCCAGGACAACCAACAGTTCTTGATTCCTATGTCCAAAAATCTTTGTTAGGGACATCTGCATACAGAAAACATAAAAGTTTCAAAAGACAACAAGATCTCACTAAGGCACTGAATTTGTGATCCTCTCGCCTCAGCCTTCCAGAGTGCTAGGATTATAGTGTGCACTACCAGGACTGACTGTAAAAAAACACGTATCTTAATTCCTCTTACATCACATTAATTCCAGGTGCATTGTAGATCTCAATGTAAGAAGTATGAGTGATGTTCATTAAACTTTCTGTAATAGAAATGTCCTGTAAATCCATTTTTCTGTTTCGTGTGGTAGCTAAATACCTTAACTGAGCACTTGAAATGTATCCAGTGCAACCATAAACATCAAATGAATCACAAATTTTATATATAAATATTAGAGGTTTCTGTTCACTAAAAGATACTACCAAGAGAACAAAAAGGCAAGCCACAGGGAGGAATAAAGAACCTATTCAAGTAATTACGAAAAGTAGATTGACCACCTCTGAATCCCCAAAGGAGTGGAATATGTAAGACATCATCAAGCAACCACAAAATGAAACTTGTGATACCATCACATCTACCAGGAGCAAAAGATGAATACTAAACAAAAGCAAAACATGGACCACTTGCAACTCTCCTACATTGGTAAAGTATATTTTAATATAGCTATTAAACCTAAATATTTGCATACTTAATAAGCAATTCTATTCCTAGGAATATTCAAATAACATGTATGTACTTACTAAGAGACAAATATAAGAATGTTCCTGGAAATGTTAGTCATAAGCTCAAGCAATCTAATGTCCATCAACAACAGAATGGAGAAAATTTTCTGCAGCCTAGAAAACAAGAAAAATTAATCTACGATATTGAAATTCAAAAAAAGCAGAATAGGCTGGGAAGGGGTTCAGATCTTATGTGGTGTGGGTAAAACTTTTTTTTGAAATGCGTGTTTTCTCTTTACAAAACTGTTTCTTTCTGTATCTCATTACTGCTGTGTGTAAGCTTTTCTGTCAGCCAGCCAGGCATTCTGCCACAAGTGGAAAATAACTTTGTACGTTTTGACAGTTGGAGGGCTGGCCTGAGTTGAGTCACCAATTATACCCATATGAACCCCTGGACTAAGAATAAAGAAAATCAAGATGCTGTTTTCACGAAAGGGTGCGGTTGTTGAGGCAAAACATCAGTGTATCTGAGGTGATATGAAAATACCAGATTTTCATTTTTTCACTGACACGTCTTCAAACTATGTAGGTTAACAAAAGTAATCTACAACTTTCCCTATCCAAATTCCTTTGTGAAAGTCTCAACTTCTAGGAGAGGGAAACTCCAGTTTCTTATCAGAGCTCCCTGACACCACTATCTCCCTAGACTACTTCACAATGATCAAATTAATTTTCTCAATCACAGGCCCAGTTATGAAACAAGTGGAATCATTTGTTTCCATTGTTTCCTATGGGGAAACTTATATTTGATATACAATAACTTTAGAACACATGTGTTCTAAAAAACAAAAAAAAAATTTTTTTTTTTTTTTTTGGCAGAAACAGGGATTGAACTCAGGCCCTTGCGCTTGCCAGGGAAGTGCTTATTCTACTGAGCCATCTCCCAGGTCCCTATGAAACAATTCTAATGAAGAAACTGTATGTACTACCAAAGTTTAAGAGTTTAAGCCTGTCATGGTACCCCATGATCTCACCCTGTTATCTTTCTATAGTTACCATATGCTGTTTCCCCTGAATAAGTCAGGGCTTTTTAGACTTTATGACTGTCAATGATCTATATTCTATTATTGAGATGTGTAACTGGTATTTACTGTGTTAAGAGATCTGGGCATTCTTATCTTCCTGGTTACTAAAGTTATAATGACATATGAATGCTAAACCTAAAATTATCATGGGAGACATAAATGGCCTTTTCTTCATGAGGGGCTAGGAAGATGGCTCAGTAGAATAAGCACTCCTGTTATGACAGCTACTATCTCCATAGCATTCCATCCCTTATTAATAAATTATTTACAGTGTATAACTGCCTATGTGAAATTTCAAAGATTTAGTAATCCTAGTTTAAGTATTTACAAATGGAACTTGTAACAAGCTGTATTTTTTAAAAGTACACAAAAAATGTACAAAATAGACCAACTCAATCTGTAATTTCATTTAGAGTAAACGTCTTTTCATCCTTAGCCTAGATTTACATATGTAACCAATTTAATAACTTCTTAAGGTTTCAGAATTACAAATTAAATTTTACTATCTACAACAATAAAAGGAATTGTGACATAAAGGTGAAATTACTTTTAAAATAAAAGTATGGGCTGGGGAGATGGCTCAGTGGAATAAGTGCTTCCCTGGCAAGCGCAAGGGCCTGAGTTCAATCCCCGGTTCCGCAAAAACAAGAAAAAAAAAGTAAAATAAAAGCATGATTAAAAGTACATCACTTTTTTATTTTTATTTAAACCAACTATGGGCCAAAAATTTATTTAGAGAACATACATGATCTTCATTTTATACTTTAATGCAAGTTTCAGGGTAAAAAGTATAACCACTTTTCCTACTTTTCAAATTTTTACCTGAAATACAATATAAAACAAAACAGCTATTGTAACAAAAGCAACATTGTTAGGAAAGCTGTTTACTTTTTAATGGTTGCAGTGCAGCTAATGTTCCTCATAATCTTCAGGATGTACACACACTTATGGTTCTTGAATACAACCAAGAAATATGGTACTGACAAAGCAATATTATACACATACATACAAATATACATATTTCTAGTTAAACAGTCAAGATTAGAAGACTGACTTTTGACTTTAATTTAAAAAAAATTTAAAAATATATTTTTAAATACATTCCCTCAACTAGCAAATTTCATGACACCTTCACGAGTCCTGGGAGTTACAATACCCTGTGCTTCCACAGATCTCCCTGCTGGGGCAGCCACTAATCATCTTCCTTCTCAATGTAGGTCTTTGCATTAGCCCGTGCCATTTGCCTGGCCAAGTACCTGTCTCTAGCTGACGTTACAGTTTCTTTATTATTCCTCTTTGCAAACTTGCTCACTGCCTCTGGTAGTTTCTCTTGTTCTTTGCCCTTCTCTTGCCTTTCTTCTGTGAGTCTGTGTTTTTCTCCCAGTGATGTTTCAGAACCAGAGGGCTTTTCTTGGTATCTTTCTTTTTTCTTTTCCATATTCCTTACTTTACTAGCTCTCTCATGGTCAAAAAACTCTTCCTTTGCCCTAGAATTAGATCTGCCTTCTTTTCTGTAAATTCTTTCTGAAGACTGAACACTTACTTCTTGTTTTCCCTTATCTCTGTATTCATCGTTACTTTCATACCTTTCCTTCCTTCCTTTCATCTGTTCTTCCTTCTCTTTGCTCTTTTCTTCCTTCTCCGTACCTCTCTCACTGTATTGGTCAGCATCATTTTGTTGTCTATGTCTTTCTTGTTCTCTTGAGGAATATTTCTCTCTTTTCCATTCTCTGTCATTTCTTTCTCTCTGGTCTACCCTTGGCTTATCCTCTTGTTCATGCCTCTTTGAGTGGGAATCTCTATGACTGGCTTCTCTGGGTTTATGAGAATCCTTTGCTTTTCTGTGATCACGGTCAGTGTAATAGTTCTCCTGGTCTCTGGACTGCCTTTCGTGGTGATCTTCCCTTTTGTCATGCCCTCTGGACTTGGAATTTTTGGCATGATATTTGGTACTATGTTCTTTTTCTTCACTAGATGATCTTGAGTGAGTCCGGTTCTTGAGATGTTTGGAATAATTCCTGGAGGTCTCTGTGACCTTTGCCTTTCTACAATTCACTTTGTTTTCTTCCATTTCATCTTCACTACTCTTAGTATCAAAATCACTGTCTGCATCTGGATTTTCCTTCTTTGTCACATGAGTTTGGAGAACACATCTCTCTTGTGGTATTCTGTTTTCTGAATTTATTTCATCTGAGTAGCCTCTTGATTTCTCTTCCTTTATTCCAGAACTATATAAATAAAAAAAGTCAGATTACCAATTATAGAGAAGTGTTCATATAGTTTTTCTCAATACTTAAATCAATACAGCTATTATATATACTGTCTGATTATCCAAATGCAAACATGTTTATTTTGTAAGCTAGTACTTTCAAGCAACTCCCAATTTTTAATATTTATAGAATGAAATAGATGTAAATCTGTCCCATATTGAACCAATAAAGCCTTCAGGTAGAGACGTACAGAAAGTTCATATTTTACTAAACTTAGACAAAAGAGAATAAAGAGAAGGAAGATATGTTCTGGATCTAAATTCAAGTTGTGATTCTCTGTTAAAACTTTTTAGGGGCCAGCAAGATAGCTCAATGGATTAAAGGGCCTGCTTAAGCAAGCGCAGGGACCACAGTTTGATCCCTAGCATCACATGCTGCACTACCCCCACCCCCAGGGTGGGCTGAGCTGGCCACAGAATCTGGGTGTAGTGGCGCATGCCCGTAATCCCAGCACTGGGGAGGCTGAAAACAGGAGGATCACTATGAGTCTGAGCTGTGCAGTGAGACCCTATAACAACCAATATGTTAAAAAAAAAAAAAAAAATCCTTTTTAAAAAACAGTCCTAGAAACATGTGAAGATAATTCTTTCACAGCAAAACAGTGGCAACTTAAATTTTCTTTTCTTTCTTCTATTTTCATTTATGATGGGGTTTCACTATGCTGTGCAGACTGTCTTGACTCCCTGGGCTCAGGGGATCCTTTTGCCTCATCTTTATGAGAACTGGCACTACACGTGTGTGGCTCTGTACTAGGCTCCTAGATATTACTAATTCATTCTTCACATTACATATTCATTCTTACTAATAATCACTACACTCACACTAAAAGAATGGAACAACCATGGCTCTCTTGGAACTGCTGGCAGAACTATCCTGGCTAAAGTACTCACTACTCATTAAGAATCTGATGATGAGACTAAAGTAGTACACTATAAGTGACAGTATAAAGTCTCATGGGTAGTATCACTATTACAGACAAAACTTTTAGAAAGTTGTAGTATTATAATTTACATGTAAAAGCTAAATATTCAAATGCACTTTCTCTCATCAATTCTGAAATCAAAACCTGTTGGGAGGGGGAGGGGGACTGACATTAAAAATCTGATTCTCAGGCTAGGGAGATAGCTTGGTGTCATAAACACCTGTCTGGCAAGTGCAAGGTCCTGATTTCGACTCCTCATACCACTAAATAAATAAATAAATAATAAATCTGATTCTCATTCCTCTTAATTCCATTCTCCCATTTCTCCCCCTTTCGCCTGCAACACAGACTCACATCTTTTAATCAGAATAATTTTTCCAAAGTTTTCTTATATACATGTTGAGGACAACTTCTTTTTACCTTCTGCTATATTAGTTATGACACAATCATCTCATTATTCCTTTAATACTTTATAATTTTACTTAAAAATCCTCTGATGCTTTGCTTTTGAGGCCAGCATTATTTAACAGAAATGCAGAAGTGTCTATAAAACAGTAATATATGTGAACTATTCAGTATGGCAGTCATTAGTCAAATATGACAGCTGAGTATGTAAAATGTGGGTCATGCTGACTAAAAGTTTAGATTTTCTCTACTTTTTTTTTTGGTTTACTTGTTCCTTATTTATTATTCTGAGAGGGTCCTTCTATGTAGTTTACATTGGCCCTAAGCTCACTAGGTAGCCCAGGTTGGCCTTGAACTGATCTTCCTGCATAAGCCTTCTGAGTGCTTAGACTACAAGTGTGTGCTAGCACACCTGGCAAACATTTTATAGTTACTAGTAGTTAGGTATTATTAGACAGTGCAGTTTTAGCCTCCAAAATATGAGTTCTGTTTCATAGAGGCTGGGTCTATCCATGGAAAAGCAAAAACAAAGCCTACTTTTATATATTATTTGAACATGTGTAAACAATGCTGTGCAACACCTGACTTCAAATTTTTCCTTATTTCTGGTATCAATCATTTTATGGCCCTAGAGCATAAAGGATTTCAATTAAAAAAAGAAAAAAAAAAAAAGGATGGTTTTGCTTTTTCATTAAGGTTATGTGTAAGATTCATAAAGCACTTTAATATTCAGAAATTTTGCATATTAAAAGTTTTAAATTGGGCTGGGGAGATAGCTTGCCTGGCAAGTGCAAGGTCCTGAGTTCAATCCCCAGTACTGCCAAATAATAAATAAATAAATAAATCCATCCCTATAGAATGTGAAGAAGAAAAAAAGAATTTTAAATTTGGCTGGAGATGCAGCTCAGGGTTAGAGGGCTTGCCTACCATGCATGCACAAGGTTCAGTTCCCAGTGCTGCCCCCACAAGTGATACATTTTATTTTATTTATTTATTTTTTGCAGTACCGGGGATTGAACTCAGGAACCTGCACTTGCCAAGAAAATACTTATTCTACTGAGCTATCTCCCCACTCCCCACATTTTATTTTAGAAACAACCAAGAATATTCATATGTAAATCATAAAAATTTTTGTGAATTGCAGGATTAAAAAAAAGCTGAAGTATAGAGTAAGTGCTTCCCTGGCAAGCGCAAGGGCCTGAGTTCAATCCCTGGTTCTGCAAAAAAAAAAAAAGAACTTCAAACCAGTGATTCTAATTAGGTCAGGTTGGCTAACAGTGCAACATTCAACACTGTAATCTATCTTTCAATTAAAATGTTCTTTTAATAACATCATAACATAGATCGTTTAACAGTACTTTTCTTCTAAATATTCCATTTCTCACTGCTCACCTGGCTTCACGAAAGCTGCATTTTGGTACTTCTTCCTCACCAACTGCTTGATTTAAAAGGTGTCTATAAAATCCACTGAGATCTTTCTGCTTGGTTACATCCAAACGTGCTGAGAGGGAAAGCAAAGAAAGAATACAGTATTCAGTAAAGCACACTGCAATTTTGTTTTATACTATGTAGAATTTACACCATCCATAGATGTATGCATGAAGTATTCTTCTAGATCAGAAGCTGGCAAACTATAACCTTTAGGCCAAATTTGGCCTGCTGCCTATGTTTGCAAATAAATTTTTACTGAAACACAGCTTGTCCATTTGTTCATATATTGTCCCCAGCTAGTTTTGTACTATAAAACTGAAAATTTGTGATACAGATCTTTTTTCTTTCTTTTGATACTAGGGATTGAACTCAGGACCTTGCAGATCAGGATCTTGCCAGGCAGGCATTTTCGCTGCTAAGCTATCTCCCCAGCCCTGTGATACAGATCTTATTCCTAAAATATTTACTATCTGGTCCTTTAAAGTTTGCTAACTAGTGCTCCAGATGGATACATAATTGATTTAGACAGACTCTTAGACTTGTTTTTCTGCACTAAGAAGATGAAGAATATTTGCTAACTATATTGTAAGTTTATGTACTTCTTAGGAAGTGATCATGGATAGAAAGCACTGAAGTAAATCACAAGATATTCTTTAGCCCCTGTGTATGTGTCATATTTATTTATTTTTTCAATTCATGTTATTCATTTTCTAATTATCTACTTGACCTTCTTGAGTAGGGGTAAGGTTGTCATCTCAAAAATGAAGGTTAAAGTTATATTTATACTGGTCTTTTTTTTTAAATAAATGCTATAGTGTTACACATAACCTGTAATAAGTGTTTTTACATTTGGAATCATGTTCTAAGACAACATCTTCTAATGATCATAGTGAGATAAAGAGAACTAAGTGAAAAGTCTACCAGAATAAGTTATTAAAGAGTCCAACTGTGTGTTCAGTTAAAATTTCCTTTGTTTTATATTACAACATAGTAACTTTTATCTGGAATTTTGATATATATGTAAATTATGATTACAACATTATAACCCAAAAGTTAACCATCAGAGAAAATGACTAACCACAGGGTAAGGATTTTGGTCTCACTGTACTTTTTCTTTTTCCATTTTACCTTCTAGTGCAGCAGCCTGTCTTTCTCTTTCTTCTTCTTCAGCTCTCTCTTGCAGTTTTTTTTTATAAGCAGATGTCACAAATGCTTCTTTATCATCAAATTCTCCTTTTTCCATTTCTCGTTCTCTCTGTATTTTCTTTTCCATTCTTTTTTCCTGTTCCTTTTTTCTGATCTCAACTGCTTTTAGTAAGTTGTGGATATACTTAGGCTAAGAGAAAAATAAAGAGTATTTAGGAGAGGGTCAAAAACAGTACTGTTATAATTCTTATAATGAACTTATTAGTACAGAAATGGACAGCCCAAATAGTACTGTCCTCTTCTCAACAAGATTAATAAAATTATTTTCAAAAAAAATTCAAGTGTAGCACAAACAGAAATCTATTATACTATTTTACAAACAATCAAGTAAAACATTTCTGTTTCCTCTCCCTCTCACATGATTCAATAGATGAATCAAATTCCTTACTAGTTTTCGACATTAGCAGAAATGTTAATAGTGGCTTTAATTCTATACCTTCGCTCTCCTAGTAGTGTAAATTGCAAAAATCCTGTTAGTCTGTGCTTATGAAAGAACAAGAGTAATAAAAAGAGGATTTAAACTTATTTCAATACCTATACCCAAAATTTTTTCAAAAAATAGTATGGTAGGGGCCAGGGAGATAGCTCAGTAGAATAAGCATTGTCTGGCAAGCCAAGGTCCTGCGTTCAATCACCGGTCCCGAGGGGGGGAAAAAAAAAAAAGTATGGTAGATATAGGCAAATAATTCAGTTACAAGCTAGGAGGCAAAATAAAACCGACAGGCTAATAAAACATATACTAATATGTATAAGGTATGAGCAGTACAAGTTTGGAACAGAAAATTTATAAAAATTTTTAAAAATTTATAGAACAATAAGATTATTCAACTCACTATTGTTAGGGTATTATACATAAAGCTTCCTTGGTTCTAAAATCAAATCTTCAATCTGAAACTAGAGGCCCTTCACACATTTCAAATTATCAACATGTGGACTTCAGACTACTACATGTTTTTTTTTTTTTTTTTTTTTTTCGTTGTTAGCCTTTACTCAGATGTCCTCATCTCATAATAATATTAAGACACTAAATACAAGTCAAAGTCAAAAGAAAGTTCGTATTTTGCTACTAACCTTTCTATCTTTTCCCAAAAGTAATTTGGGATTACTTTCTTCCTTTTTTTTCTGCATCTCATCATAAATGCTGTCATATTCATATACAGTGGAATCTTCTGCAAGGGCCTTCTGCATCTCCAGTTTGGTCTTTAAGAAAAAGTTTTAAAAGTGTGAACCAGTCAATTTCACCAGGTGAAGTCTATGTATTTATATTTTATTAGAAATGTATCACAAAAATTACATCATTCACATTCTAGATAGAAAAATATGAATGTAAATTCTGGTGCTAGGCAGCCTAGATTTAAATCTGGCTTTACAATTACCACTTACAAACTTTGGGCAAGTCTGTTTAATATTTTTTGTTCCTTAATTTTTTTCAGCTAAAGTGAGGCTAGCTGGGTGTGGTGGTATATACTCTTGTAACCCTTGCACTCTAGAAGGCTGAAACAAAAGCTTTATAAGTTCAAACTCAGCCTCCATAATCACTGAGACTATCTCAAAATAAAAAGAACTAGAAATGTAGCTCAGTGTGAAGTTCCTTGTTTAATTGTCATTACAATCAATCAATCCATCAATAAATTACCCATATGAAAAGTTCTAAGGTATGACAGAAACATCTAACCTTAATTTTATGAAAGCTGTATTTTCTTTCTTTAAAAAAACTGTCGGGTATTGAACCTAGGATTGATGCTAGGCAGCAGGCGTTCTTCCACTGAGCAACATCTTCCACCTCTTTATCACTTTTTTTTTTTTAACTATCTCAGTACTTGGGATTGAACCCAGGCTTGTCACATAGACTTATATATCTTTAGCCCTCTCTTTATTTTGAGATTAGGATCTTGTTAATCATTAAGCTGTCTGGCTGGGCTTGCACTTGCGATCCTTCTGCTTAGCTTTCCAGAGTACAGGGATTACTGGTGTGCCCCACAAGTAATATGAACTTTTTTTTTTTTTTTTTTTTTGGTCTTTTTGACACAGAGTTTTACTATGTAGTTCAGGATGGCCTCTAACTTGCAGCAACCCCCCTGCTTCAGCCTCCCAAGTCCTGGGTGTACAAGCGTGTGCTATTATGCTTGGTCATACTGCCTTTTGTAAGATAAACTGTGAAATAAAATGTTTAGATTTAAAATGTTTAATGGTAGGAAATACTTGGTACATAGCTTAGTCGTAGTGAACCCCTGGGTTCAAGCCCTAGTCCCTAGAAATAGGAGCTCAACAAAATGCTGGCATTTAAAAAAAGTTTCTCAATATAGTATCAAAATGGGGTCATTACTAATTTGCTAATCTAAAAAATATTTTTAAGCCAAGTATGGTAAAGCACACCTGTAATCCCACAACTCAAGGAGGCTGAGGGAAGACTGCTGTGAGGCAGGATGGTATTCATTGCTACAATGAGTCCAGGCTAGCCTAAATTGCATAGCATCTCAAAAGAGAAAAATAATTTTTTTTGTAACATCAGTCATGTAAAATTCTTTGTTTTTGTGTATGTTACTTCTACCTTAAATGTGTGTATGTGTGTGTGTGTGTTTTGTTGTTTGGCCTCTTGCAGGCCGTCAAAATTTTATCTAGTTTCAAGGCTAGCTCAATCCTTGTATTTTAAATGAGGGCATCTCTAAGGTCATTAATACTCAATAACCTTTATGTTTTGTCGTTTTAAGACAGGGTCTTACTACGCAGTTCAGGCTGGTCTTCAGCTCACTTTGTAGCCCAGGTTAGCCTGTGCTTGCAGCAATCTTCCTGTCTCAGCCTCCTAAATGCTGGGATTATAGTTGTGTGCCACCCAGCCTTACTGATTCTTCTTTCAAACTTTGATGGAACATTTTATACTACAATATTTAACTCTTTTTTTATTTATTTTTTTTTAAATTTTTTAAATTTTATTTTATTTAAATTTTATTTTATTTATTTATTTATTTTATTTTATTTTATTTGTGTGTGTGTGTGGCCAGCTCAGCCCACCAGGGGGCGGGGCTGGCTGGCATGTGGTGCTGGGGGATTGAACAGTGGTCCTTGTGCTTTTAGTTTGTTCCAAGTAGGTGCTTTAGACCACTGAGCCATCTCACCAGCCCAATATTTAACTCTTAATGGTGTTCCTGATGTTTTTACTTTGAATCTGTTTCATAAATTTTACTGAGCCTCTTGCCCTAGTTTGTAAGTTTCTAAGGTAGAATCTACGTACTTCAACTTTTCCTTGAGTATCTACATTTTCCAATACAGTGTGGAACACAAAAAAGATCCTTTCAAAATGAAACTCTCCGAAATGAAATGAAAAGAAATGACACTGTGGAATGCTGAAGCAGGAAAATCATAAATTTAAGTCCAATCTGGATTAATTTCGCAAGACCGTCTATCAAAATAAGAAACACCTGGTGACACTGTAAAGGCCTTGTGTTCAATTCTCAGTACCAAGAAAAAAAATTAAAAATTAAACCCTCAGGCCTAGTACTATAATTGGCTATGTGATGAGCAATTTTTCCTTTCTGAATTTGAGATTACTTAATCAGGACCATGGACATATTTGTGAGAATCCTAAAACATGATATATGTAAAAGTACTAGGAAACACTAGGTTCTTGTAGTGACCTTTTATGGTAGGTGAATGTTAAATAATTAGAAAACCATGAAATCTGTTTTTCTGTCACACACAAGGGTAGGCATAGAGTTGCAAATAAATTCACCAATAGGAATTTAATAATAACAACAAGTCAAAGAAGTCACTGTGTGAAAGCAGAGATGATTTAATCTGCAGCCAGCAATAAAGAGCTAATTCTTGGACAAGAATGCAGCTTAGTGGTAGAGTATATGTCTAGCATGTATGAGGCCTCAGCCACCCTCCCTTTCCAAAAGCCAATTCTTTTATTCTTCAGTGTGACAGAAAAGAATCTCTAATTCATATAAATCATGAAATATTTTTACACATCTTAAGAAAAACAATGGTCAAAATAAAATTTCATTATATATGTGCACTTTGCTTTAGTCTAAGCACCTATATGCCAAATCTGACACTTAAAAATACGAGCTGAAATACTTCACCAGATGCACACAGCTTAAGCATCCACCTTACCTGTTTCATGGCCTGCTTCTTTGCAGCTTCCCTCTGAAGACTTTCACTCACGGAGGTCTATAAAACAGAAAAAAGCTATAGTTGTTAAAGCTTATTTATCTTTCACTATTCTGATTAGCAACTGGTTACTTAATTAGAAGTGGAAAGATAATATGGGGTTATTATCTTCAAGGTCCTTTCCCTAAATTTTACATAACAAATGAATTTTCACTGTTACTCACAAGAACAGACTAAGGTATAAAAACAGAGTTGGTACAGTAAAAAATGAGGAAACAGATTTTTAGTTTCAATTTTACAAGTTATTCAACCTCTATGGATTTTAATTTGCTTTGGGTATACACGTATGTGTGTGGGAGCATATGTTACATGAGCAAAGGCTGGATTAGATAATCTTTCAAGTGTCTTCTAATATTGGTATGAATCTCAGCAACAAAAAGTCTACTTTAATATTTACCACTGACTGTAGAATATGAAGCTGTTGGCTTATGCATAGGACTCAGAGGCACTGAGAAATACCTGGTTATAATCATTCATAAGATATGTGCTTTTTTAAAAGCCTATAAAGCCAATGGGCCTTATTCTAGGGCCTGAGGATAGTGTAAAAGCAAAAATAGTATGTCTTTGAGAAATAAGTGGCCTAAAAGAGAAGACAACTAACTAAAGAGAAAACTTCAATGTGATAAGCAATAAAGAACCTGTCTCTAAAAACAAAATGGCTCAATGTAAGAAAGGTCCTGGGTTTAATTCCCAATATGAAAACAAAAAAATGACAAAGCTCCTGTACAGCAATAATAAGCCTACCAAGAAAGAAATTAGAAAATCCCATTCATAATGGCTTCAAAAAAATCAAATACCTAAGAATCAAACCAATCAGGAGATGAAATATCTCTATTAAAAAAAAAATTACAGAACTCTAAAGAAATAAATCACAGGGGACATTAGAAAAGGAAATGACATATCTTGTTCTTAGAATGGCAAAATATTGTGAAAATGGCATATTACCAAAAGCAATGTATAGGGGGCTGGGGAGATGGTTCAGTAGAATAAGCGCTTCCCTGGCAAGCACAAGGGCCTGAGTTCAATCCCCAGTTCCTCCAAAAAAAAAAAAAAAAAGAAAACCAAAAGCAATGTATAGATTTAATACAATCCTTATTACGATAAAAAAAATTATTTACAGAACTAGTAAAAACATTAAAATTCATATAGAATCAATACAGACTCAGAATAGCCAAAACAATCCTGAGCAAAAAAAAAAAAGCAAAATATTCTGAATAATGTATTTCAAGTACTGCTAATATTACAAAGCTATATTAACAAAACAACATGACACTGGCATATACAAACAGACGCATAGACCAATGGAATAGAACAGAAGGCACACAAGTAAGTCACCTGTACCTATAGCTATTTGGCTTTTGAAAAAGAAGTCAAAAATATGTTAGAGAAAAGATGGCTTCTTTAATAAATGCTGCGGGAAAACTGGGTGTCTGTTTCCATAAGGTTGAAAGCAGATACCTATTTCTCATCCTGTACTACAAGCAAAGCTGTTCATGGTGGTGTACATCTATAAACCCAGACGGCTGAGGCACGACCACTGACAAAAGTTCAAGGCCAGTTTAGGCTATGCAGTAAATTCAAAGCCAGGCCTAAACTACATAGTGAGACCTCCATCTAAAAAAAGAAAAAAAGCCCTCAAATAGAAATGAATCAAAGATCTAGATATAAAAACAGAACTCAAGACTTGAAGCCATAACACATAGGCCAAAACTTCCTGAACAGAATTTCAGTAGCACAGGGAATAATGTCAAGAGTCAACAAATGGGATTAACCAAATTAAAAGCTTTTGCTAGCAAAGAAAACAATGAACAATGAAGAGACAACCCAGAGAATGGGAGAAAGATTTTGCTAGCTAGTCATCTAATAGAGACCACTATCCAGAATATATAAAGAACAAAACCAACCCCTTAAAACAAATAATCCAATTTAAAAAAACCAGGCAAATGAACTAAACTGACATTTCTCAAAAGAACAAAGGGCCATTAAGTATATTAAAAAATTTCAACATGTAGCCATTATAGAAGGACAAATCAAAACTGAGATTCCATGCTATCCTAGTCAGACTAGCTATCATCAGGAACACAAAAAATAAGGAACAATGGCAAGGATGGGGAGTTAGTAGTCCTACATTGTTGGTGGGAATATAAACTACTTTATGTACTATGGTAATCAGTATAGAGATTCCACAAAAGGCCAGATATACCATTTTGGTTCAAGTAGTCTTAAAAAATTAAACATTATATACTACAGTGATACACACACACCCATGCTTATAGTGGTGCAATTAAGTAGAGCTTATTTTTGTAAGCAGCTGAGATGCTTTTCAACAGGTGAAGACACACACAATGGAATGTTAATCATAAATAAAAATAAAACTGTTATTTGCAGGACAATGA